TGTCTGAAGGTATGTAATGTGTCAGATATACATACCAGACTGTCTGAAGGTATGTAATGTGTCAGATATACATACCAGACTGTCTGAAGGTATGTTATGTGTCAGATATACATACCAGACTGTCTGAAGGTATGTAATGTGTCATATATACATACCAGACTGTCTGAAGGTATGTAATGTGTCAGATATACATACCAGACTGTCTGAAGGTATGTAATGTGTCAGATATACATACCAGACTGTCTGAAGGTATGTAATGTGTCAGATATACATACAAGACTGTCTGAAGGTAAGTTATGTGTCAGACTGTCTGAAGGTATGTAATGTGTCAGGTATACATACCAGACTGTCTGAAGGTATGTAATGTGTCAGGTATACATACGAGACCGTCTGAAGGTATCTAATTTGTCAGATATACATACCAGACTGTCTGAAGGTATGTTATGTGTCAGACATACATACCAGACTGTCTGAAGGTATGTTATGTGTCAGATATACATACCAGACTGTCTGAAGGTATTTTATTTGTCAGATATACATACCAGACTGTCTGAAGGTAAGTTATGTGTCAGACTGTCTGGAGGTATGTAATGTGTCAGGTATACATACCAGACTGTCTGAAGGTATGTAATGTGTCAGGTATACATACGACACCGTCTGAAGGTATTTAATTTGTCAGAAATACATACCAGACTGTCTGAAGGTATTTTATGTGTCAGATATACATACGGGACTGTGTGAAGGTATTTTATGTGTCAGATATACATACCAGACTGTCTGAAGGTATGTAATGTGTCAGATATACATACCAGACTGTTTGAAGATATGTAATGTGTCAGATATACATACCAGACTGTCTGAAGGTATGTAATTTGTCAGATATACATACCAGACTGTCTGAAGGTAAGTTATGTGTCAGACTGTCTGAAGGTATGAAATGTGTCAGATATACATACCAGACTGTCTGAAGGTATGTAATGTCTCAGATATACATACTAGACTGTCTGAAGGTATGTTATGTGTCATATATACATACCAGACTGTCTGAAGGTCTGTTATGTGTCAGACTGTCTGAAGGTATGTAATGTGTCAGTTATACATACCAGACTGTCTGAAGGTATGTAATGTGTCAGATATACATTCCAGACTGTCTGAAGCTATGTAATTTGTCAGATATACATACCAGACTGCCTGAAGATAAGTTATGTGTCAGATTGTCTGAAGGTATGTAATGTGTCAGGTATACATACGAGACCGTCTGAAGGTATCTTATGTGTCAGATATACATACCAGACTGTCTGAAGGTATATAATGTGTCAGATATACATACCAGACTGTCTGAAGGTATGTAATGTGTCAGATATACATACCAGACTGTCTGAAGGTATGTAATGTGTCAGATATACATACCAGACTGTCTGAAGGTAAGTTATGTGTCAGACTGTCTGAAGGTATGTAATGTGTCAGGTGTACATACCAGACTGTCTGAAGGTATGTAATGTGTCAGGTATACATACGAGACCGTCTGAATGTATTTTATATGTCAGATATACATACCAGACTGTCTGAAGGTATGTTATGTGTCATATATACATACCAGACTGTCTGAAGGTATGTAATGTGTCAGATATACATACCAGACTGTCTGAAGGTATGTAATGTGTCAGATATACATACCAGACTGTCTGAAGGTAAGTTATGTGTCAGACTGTCTGAAGGTATTTTATGTGTCAGGTATACATACCAGACTGTCTGAAGGTATGTAATGTGTCAGGTATACATACGAGACCGTCTGAATGTATTTTATATGTCAGATATACATACCAGACTGTCTGAAGGTATGTTGTGTGTCATATATACATACCAGACTGTCTGAAGGTATATAATGTGTCAGATATACATACCAGACTGTCTGAAGGTATGTAATTTGTCAGATATACATACCAGACTGTCTGAAGGTATGTAATTTGTCAGATATACATACAAGACTGTCTGAAGGTAAGTTATGTGTCAAACTGTCTGAAGGTATGTAATGTGTCAGGTATACATACCAGACTGTCTGAAGGTATGTAATGTGTCAGGTATACATACGAGACCGTCTGAAGGTATCTAATTTGTCAGATATACATACCAGACTGTCTGAAGGTAATTTATGTGTCAGACTGTCTGAAGGTATGTAATATGTCAGGTATACGCACCAGACTGTCTGAAGGTATGTAATGTGTCAGGTATACATACGAGACCGTCTGAAGGTATCTAATTTGTCAGATATACATACCAGACTGTCTGAACGTATTTTATGTGTCAGATATACATACCAGACTGTCTGAAGGTATGTTATGTGTCAGATATACATACCAGACTGTCTGAAGGTATGTAATGTGTCAGATATACATACCAGACTGTCTGAAGGTATGTAATTTGTCAGATATACATACAAGACTGTCTGAAGGTAAGTTATGTGTAAGACTGTCTGAAGGTATGTAATGTGTCAGATATACATACCAGACTGTCTGAAGGTATGTAATTTGTCAGATATACATACCAGACTGTCTGAAGGTATGTAATTTGTCAGGTATACATACCAGACTGTCTGAAGGTATGTTATGTGTCATATATACATACCAGACTGTCTGAAGGCAAGTTATGTGTCAGATATACATACCAGACTGTCTGAAGGTATGTAATTTGTCATATATACATACCAGACTGTCTGAAGGTATGTAATGTGTCAGATATACATACCAGACTGTCTGAAGGTATGTAATGTGTCAGATATACATACCAGACTGTCTGAAGGTAAGTTATGTGTCAGACTGTCTGAAGGTATGTAATGTGTCAGGTATACATACGAGACCGTCTGAAGGTATCTTATGTGTCAGATATACATACCAGACTGTCTGAAGGTATATAATGTGTCAGATATACATACCAGACTGTCTGAAGGTATGTAATGTGTCAGATATACATACCAGACTGTCTGAAGGTATGTAATTTGTCAGATATACATACCAGACTGTCTGAAGGTAAGTTATGTGTCAGACTGTCTGAAGGTATGTAATGTGTCAGGTATACATACCAGACTGTCTGAAGGTATTTTCCAGATGTGTCAGATATACATACCAGACTGTCTGAAGGTATGTTATGTGTCATATATACATACCAGACCGTCTGAAGGTATGTAATTTGTCAGATATACATACCAGACTGTCTGAAGGTATTTTATGTGTCAGATATACATACCAGACTGTCTGAAGGTATGTAATGTGTTAGGTATACATACCAGACTGTCTGAAGGTAAGTTATGTGTCAGACTGCCTGAAGGTATGTAATGTGTCAGGTATACATACCAGACTGTCTGAAGGTATGTAATTTGTCAGATATACATACCAGACTGTCTGAAGGTATGTAATTTGTCAGGTATACATACCAGACTGTCTGAAGGTATGTTATGTGTCATATATACATACCAGACTGTCTGAAGGCAAGTTATGTGTCAGATATACATACCAGACTGTCTGAAGGTATGTAATTTGTCAGATATACATACCAGACTGTCTGAAGGTATGTTATGTGTCAGACTGTCTGAAGGTATGTAATGTGTCAGATAGACATACCAGACTGTCTGAGGGTATGTAATGTGTCAGATAGACATACCAGACTGTCTGAAGGTATGTAAATTGTCAGATATACATACCAGACTGTCTGAAGGTAAGTTATGTGTCAGACTGTCTGAAGGTATGTAATGTGTCAGGTATACATACCAGACTGTCTGAAGGTATATAATGTGTCAGATATACATACCAGACTGTCTGAAGGTATGTAATGTGTCAGATATACATACCAGACTGTCTGAAGGTATGTAATTTGTCAGATATACATACCAGACTGTCTGAAGGTAAGTTATGTGTCAGACTGTCTGAAGGTATGTAATGTGTCAGGTATACATACCAGACTGTCTGAAGGTATTTTATGTGTCAGATATACATACCAGACTGTCTGAAGGTATGTTATGTGTCATATATACATACCAGACTGTCTGAAGGTATGTAATGTGTCAGATATACATACCAGACTGTCTGAAGGTATTTTATGTGTCAGATATACATACCAGACTGTCTGAAGGTATGTAATGTGTTAGGTATACATACCAGACTGTCTGAAGGTAAGTTATGTGTCAGACTGCCTGAAGGTATGTAATGTGTCAGGTATACATACCAGACTGTCTGAAGGTATGTAATGTGTCAGGTATACATACGAGACCGTCTGAAGGTATCTAATTTGTCAGATATACATACCAGACTGTCTGAAGGTAAGTTATGTGTCAGACTGTCTGAAGGTATGTAATGTGTCAGGTATACATACCAGACTGTCTGAAGGTATGTAATGTGTCAGGTATACATACGAGACCGTCTGAAGGTATCTAATTTGTCAGATATACATACCAGACTGTCTGAAGGTATTTTATGTGTCAGATATACATACCAGACTGTCTGAAGGTATGTTATGTGTCATATATACATACCAGACTGTCTGAAGGTATGTAATATGTCAGATATACATACCAGACTGTCTGAAGGTATGTAATGTGTCAGATATACATACCAGACTGTCTGAAGGTATGTAATGTGTCAGATATACATACCAGACTGTCTGAAGGTATACATAATTTGTCAGATATACATACCAGACTGTCTGAAGGTATGTAAGACTGTCTGAAGGTAAGTTATGTGTCAGACTGTCTGAAGGTATGTAATGTGTCAGGTATACATACCAGACTGTCTGAAGGTATGTAATGTGTCAGATATACATACCAGACTGTCTGAAGGTATGTAATGTGTCAGATATACATACCAGACTGTCTGAAGGTATGTGATTTGTCAGATATACATACCAGACTGTCTGAAGGTATGTAACATGTCAGATATACATACCAGACTGTCACTATTACAGGCAAAGGTAAGCATTTGCATGCAATTAGCTTTCCGTTTGTTCTTCAGTCTGGGCGCCAGACATGACGGAGAAGAGAACGCATGTAATGCTGGTGACGGCTTCCTGATGGCGTCAGTAATAGAGATCAACTCCACAAACAGATGGTACCTGTCTCCGTGCAGTGTGGAATATATCGAAACGCTGTTGTCTCAGCTCAGAAGGTGTGTATAGAGGTTTGAAGAGGTTTGCAAGTCTTGCTCTTAATACCGCGGCAATAAACATCAACTCGGAGAGTGAATGGTGTCAGAACCCATGCTTCCATAGACAAACGTCTGTCGACTTCCCACCAGGAGTGGTACCGCTAGGTCTGGCCAGCATCTTGATACACAGTTGGAGCTGTAATCAGCCTTATTACTGTAATGTGTGTGCATTGGCATTTAGGTTCTGACACTAGTCTGTAAACAAATTAATTTGTCTGAGAAGCAATTCACCATATGAGGTTTGAAGCAAAAACGATGTCCTTGAAACCATTTCTTTGGTTTAAACACGCCGCCCTGTACTTGCATGAAAGAGTTTGGTTCAAGGGCACAATCTGTAGAAACCTCAGAAGCTGAGAAAATGACCATCAAGTACGATGTTCTCATGGTTACATTTACAACAGGCATGTAATACAAGTGACCGGTGTTGGTTACATACATTCCGTTTGTCAAGGCAAAGTTGATTTCATGTTATGACATTTCGTTGGTTATCTAGAGATAGGAATCTGTGCCTCCTCCAAAATAAGCACGAGGTGGAGAAAAACGAGGGTCCTACAACCAGCATCCACATGGGTGAGCTGTACACACCTGACCAGCAGTGTGAGCTCATTGAGGGCAGGGGATCCTACTTCTGCAGGGTAGGGGACACTTCGCTGTAGAAAAATATATATACGTAATCGACTGATGCCAGTTTGCAGAGTTTAAGATTAGTGTTTATGCTTTTGATAGAGCGTTGAAATGTCAACAAGTAAACTGTCACCACAGAGTAGCTCATTCTGATCATCAAATAATGACATATTAGGTGTAATGTCGTTGACAAGAAGTTGTAGATGCTTTAATTTGAAAACATGTTTATATTTAGAAAAGTGTTTACGTTAGTTTCTACAGTTTAAACATATATTTATATTCTTAACGTGAGGGATTCGGGAATCAAACCCTGAACTATTATACCGTTAAAGCACTCAGCGTACTTTAACTATAATAGTTCAGGGCAAAAGTGCACTTTATTACACTATAGATGGTAGTAGAGCGAACTGTATTTCTTACTCTCTTTTTACAACATGCGCCTACACTTGGTATACACCTATATCAATTTTTACCCCAGGATTTCTACTCCAAACCAGAAGATTACAGCCACATCTGTACCAACATATGGTGCCATGTGAGCAACTCGGCGCACAACATATGCAACAACTATGAAGGGTCGGACGGATACGCTTGTGGCAATAAGAAGGCAAGTGGCCACAGATTGAACCCGGGTCAGCAAGTGGACAGGGTTTCTGCTATTGTTATCAGGTGACCAGAGGAAGAGACCTGTCGAGACACTGGTCGGTGATCTCTCATATAACGCTAGTTGAGGATGGAGAGTCCCCACTATCCTTACAATGTAGAACAATAATGTTACTGGAAGATGGAGAGTCTCTACTATCCTTACAATGTAAAACTATAATGTTACTGGGAGATGGAGAGTCTCTACTATCCTTACAATGTAGAACTATAATGTTACTGGGAGGTGGAGAATCTCTACTATCCTTACAATGTAAAACTATAATGTTACTGGGACATGGAGAGTCCCTACTATCCTTACCATATAGAACTATAATGTTACTGGGAGATGGAGATTCCCTACTATCCTTACAATATAAAACTCTAATGTTACTGGAAGATGGAGAGTCTCTACTATCCTTACAATGTGAAACTATAATGTTACTGGAAGATGGAGAGTCTCTACTATCCTTAGCATATAAAGCTATAATGTTACTGGGAGATGGAGAGTGTCTACTATCCTTACAATGTAGAACAATAATGTTACTGAGAGATGGAGAGTCTTTACTATTCTTACAATGGAGAACAATAATATTACTGGAAGGTGGAGAGTCGCTACTATCCTTACAATGTAAAACTATAATGTTACTGAGAGATGGAGAGTCTTTACTATCCTTACAATGTAAAACTATAATGTTACTGAGAGATGGAGAGTCTCTACTATCCTTACAATGTAAAACTATAATGTTACTGGGAGATGGAGAGTCTCTACTATCCTTACAATGTAGAACTATAATGTAACTGGAAGATGGAGAGTCCCTACTATCCTTACTATGTAGAACTACAATGTTACTGGGAGATGGAGAATCTCTACCATCCTTACAATGTAGAACTATAATGTAACTGGAAGATGGAGAGTCCCTACTATCCTTACAATGTAAAACTATAATGTAACTGGGAGATGGAGAGTCTCTACTATCCTTACATGTAGAACTACAATGTTACTGGGAGATGGAGAATCTCTACCATCCTTACAATGTAGAACTATAATGTTACTGGGAGATGGAGATTCCCTACTATCCTTACAGTGTAGAACTATAATGTTACTGGAAGATGGAGAGTCTCTACTATCCTTAGCATGTAAAGCTATAATGTTACTGGAAGATGGAGAGTCTCTACTATCCTTACAATGTAGAACTATAATGTTACTGGGAGATGGAGAGTCTCTACTATGCTTACAATGTAGAACTATAATGTAACTGGGAGATGGAGAGTCTCTACTATCCTTACAATATAGAACTATAATGTTACTGGGAGATGGAGAATCTCTACTATCCTTACAATGTAGAACAATAATGTTACTGGGACATGGAGAGTCCCTACTATCCTTACAATGTAAAACTATAATGTTACTGGGAGATGGAGAATCTCTACCATCCTTACAATGTAGAACAATAATGTTACTGGGAGATGGAGAGTCTCTACTATCCTTACAATGCAGAACTATAATGTAACTGGGAGGTGGAGAGTCCCTACTATCCTTACTATGTAGAATTACAATGTTACTGGGAGATGGAGAGTCTCTACTATCCTTACAATGTAGAACTATAATGTTACTGGGAGATGGAGAGTCTCTACTATCCTTACAATGTAGAACTATAATGTAACTGGAAGATGGAGAGTCTCTACTATCCTTACAATGTAGAACTATAATGTTACTGGGAGATGGAGAGTCCCTACTATCCTTACTATGTAGAACTACAATGTTACTGGGAGATGGAGAATCTCTACCATCCTTACAATGTAGAACTATAATGTAACTGGGAGATGGAGAGTCTCTACTATCCTTACAATGTAAAACTATAATGTTACTGGGAGATGGAGAGTCTCTACTATCCTTACAATGTAGAACTATAATGTAACTGGAAGATGGAGAGTCTCTACTATCCTTACAATGTAGAACTATAATGTTACTGGAAGATGGAGAGTCCCTACTATCCTTACTATGTAGAACTACAATGTTACTGGGAGATGGAGAATCTCTACCATCCTTACAATGTAGAACTATAATGTAACTGGAAGATGGAGAGTCCCTACTATCCTTACAATGTAAAACTATAATGTAACTGGGAGATGGAGAGTCTCTACTATCCTTACAATGTAAAACTATAATGTTACTGGGAGATGGAGAGTCCCTACTATCCTTACAGTGTAGAACTATAATGTTACTGGAAGATGGAGAGTCTCTACTATCCTTAGCATGTAAAGCTATAATGTTACTGGAAGATGGAGAGTCTCTACTATCCTTACAATGTAAAACTATAATGTTACTGGGAGATGGAGAGTCTCTACTATGCTTACAATGTAGAACTATAATGTAACTGGGAGATGGAGAGTCTCTACTATCCTTACAATGTAGAACTATAATGTTACTGGGAGATGGAGAGTCTCTACTATCCTTACAATGTAGAACTATAATGTTACTGGGAGATGGAGAGTCCCTACTATCCTTACAATGTAAAAACTATAATGTTACTGGGAGATGGAGAGTCTCTACTATCCTTACAATGTAGAACAATGTTACTGGGAGATGGAGAGTCTCTACTATCCTTACAATATAGAACTATAATGTTACTGGAAGATGGAGAGTCCCTACTATCCTTACAATAAAGAACTATAATGTAACTGGGAGATGGAGAGTCTCTACTATCCTTACAATGTAAAACTATGATGTTACTGGGAGATGGAGAGTTCCTACTATCCTTACAGTGTAGAACAATAATGTTACTGGAAGATGGAGAGTCTCTACCATCCTTATAATGTAGAACTATAATGTTACTGGGAGATGGAGAGTCTCTACTATCCTTACAATGTAGAACTATAATGTTACTGAGAGATGGAGAGTCTCTACTATCCTTACAATGTAGAACTATAATGTAACTGGAAGATGGAGAGTCCCTACTATCCTTACATTACAGAACTATAATGTTACTGGGAGATGGAGATTCTTTACTATCCTTACAATGTAGAACAATAATGTTACTGGAAGGTGGAAAGTCTCTACTATCATTACAATGTAAAACTACAATTTTACTGGAAGATGTAGAGTCTCTACTATCCTTACAATGTAGAACAATAATGTTACTGGAAGGTGGAAAGTCTCTACTATCATTACAATGTAAAACTACAATTTTACTGGAAGATGTAGAGTCTCTACTATCCTAAGCATGTAGAACTATAATGTTACTGGAAGATGGAGAGTCTCTACTATCCTTAGCATGTAAAGCTATAATGTTACTGAGAGATGGAGAGTCTCTACTATCCTTACAATGTAGAACTATAATGTTACTGGAAGATGGAGAGTCTCTACTATCCTTACAATGTAGAACTATAATGTTACTGGAAGATGGAGAGTCCTACTATCCTTAGCATGTAGAACTATAATGTTACTGGAAGATGGAGAGTCCCTACTATCCTTAGCATGTAAAGCTGTAATGTTACTGGAAGATGGAGAGTCTCTACTATCCTTAGGATGTAAAGCTGTAATGTTACTGGAAGATGGAGAGTCTCTACTATCCTTAGCATGTAAAGCTATAATGTTATTGAGAGACGGATACTCTCTACTATCCTTACGACGTACAGCAATAATGTTACTGAGAGATGGCGAGTTTCTTCTATCTTTACAATGTAAAACTATAATGTTACTGGGAGATGGAAAGTCGAGGCACTGCTTCACTGAGCCACCAGATCACCTCCTTGCGTTTGTAACATATCCTGGATGAGGACGAGGGCGTCTTCTCCAGACGGGATAGGTTACGGAATCAAACAAAACCTAGTTGATAATTTCACTATAGTATTTATCTAACCAGATACCTTGGTTCGTTGTAGGTATGTGACAAGGGAAGGTGTGTCCTCAGCAACAAGGGAGTGGAATCCTTGGGTAGGTAGAACTATATCCTCTCCATTTGATATTTAGACGCTGATTAATACGAGTTCTCATTATACTGGCTGAATTTAAAGGAGGACGAAAAGTGACCTTAACAAACATGTATTTACTCATGTACTGCCGTTCTGTTCTAGACTACTGTCCCCAGGGAGACCAGCCCGGTATTGTTTGGAAGAACTACACATGCGCACAGTTGGTGTTTTATGAACCGGAAATGTGCTACGATGATAATACGAGATCTCGTTGCTGCCTCTCATGTACAGAAATAAACAAAGGCATACCAGGTATTCGAATCTGAAATTTCAAGGATTACGTCAGACAAAACACTATCCGCTTAAAACTAACCATCCACTCGAGAGACTGTTTCCTGCTTGTGACAAGTATTGATCTATCTATACTACCGGGAAGAATAAGGTATCACCGACGTCACTTGACCAAAATATAGAAACAAAGACGCATGTGAGATTTATGATTATTATTTCACAAACAGAATTCATTTGACAGTAATTTGACTGACACGCGTAGGTCAGTGGATCAAAACCACAGTCTATAAGTTGTATGCTTCTCTCGAGGGTAATACGGTCTGATGTACGACTCTTTGTAGCAGTGTCACCCGAGCCGGTAGGCGACTGATGATACTGCTACAAAGAGGCTAGTCTGTCTCACAGTCCCTGAACCAATTATTTTCCCCAATGCTTAGCCCTAAATAAAGCAAGTCTAGATTTCCTCAGGTTCAGGGTCCGTTAACATCTGCAAGAAAACTTACTCACTTTGGGGGTCGGGTTACAAACATATCTAACTGCCATGGCTGGCCGGACCAACATCCTCACCAGTGGTCTGGAATCTTGCCTCACATGTTAATCTGTCAACTCTTAATTAACATGGGGTGACACAAGCTATAGTGGAGGCCTTGTGCACAGTTTTTGCTCTTTAAGAGACAAATCAAGCAAAATTTCATCCTGAATGATAAAAAGTATTATTTCCATGCCTGACTTGGGTGCACATATGGCAGGCCAACTGTGAACTCAACTGGTTGACTTTTTCGCATACTTTTGTCACTACACCGATTCAATTTTTACAATGTTTGTATACCACTCTTGAATAAAAATACCCAGAACATCCTCAAGCATAGGACAGGCGCTAGTCTTTTCACTTCCATTGAACAGTTTTCTTCTATAAAGGGGTTTTCTATAAAGATAATTTTGTTGGTGATCCAGATAGATCTTGCACCTTGACATCTAGCCTTCAAGTAACATTGTGGGTTGAAGTTTCCAAACATTTAAGCAGTAGGGGCTTGACTGGGCCACATGAGGTGATGACAGCACTCTGGTCAGACTCCATGGAGATGGGACAGGGCTTAACACAAGGGCCAATAAATATGCCTGTCACATAAAACGTTATCTGATGGTTACACGATGTGACTTCTAATTGATAATGACCCCAGCACGTATAGCCCCAATGCAGATGTTATTAGTCCCTGAATCTCTGGTCTCACTGGGGCTCCTTTTCAATTTAAATGGGTTTATTTGCTACTATCAAATTTATATGTATTCAGGGACTAAACGTTAGTCTACAAAGAGGCATACATCAGACCGTATTACCCGAGGGAGAAGCATACTACGTATTTATCTTACCGCCATGTTAAATGTAAAATATATCTTTTTATTCTATGTTAAAGATCGCTACCGACTATATGACATGCAAACAAAATGGCGTCTGTCTCTCGACTGGATTTTTAACATCAGTGAAACATATTCTGACAAACAATAAACTGCTATAGAAATTGTTTAAATTATGTTTAAGCTGAGTGTGCAAATCACTCAATGTATAAAATAGCTTAAATAAAGCAGTGAAAGTCGGTAAAATACATCTGTACAAAGTGAACACAAAAACAGCTGATCGAAGGGTTTTCGAACTCCGGGCACGGCATGCGTCATATTATGACGTCATACGATTGTTAGCGCTTCAGCTTCTCGGCGGAGAGCTTGGCGGTTACCGTGGCAGCGGGTAATATGTTTTCCAGTTGTTACCCTCCTTGGAGGGTGACACGGAAACTTGTTAAACTGTCATTGACCAATTAAATTAAAGTATGTTACATGAAGGTAAGATAAATGCTGTTGTTCAACCCGTGGTACATATAGATCAATCCAAGACTCATCTGTGGTTTAAATGCTGGTCTTACATTTGCCGTAATTCATTAGGAAAGAGTCAATGGGTCAAAATTACAAATTATACAAATAAGAGTTTATTCAAAAAGTGCACAAATTGAGACAGGAGTCAGGGGACACGTCATCAATAGCGAGTGTGACCACCCTTGGCATCCATGTACGCCAACACACGTCTCCTCATTGACGTCGTCAGTCGGTGGATGCAGCAGAATCATGTTCCATAAGTCCAAGAGAGTCTGTACAAGTTCGTGTCGGTTCGCTGTAGGTGGTACACCCTGTCTCAGCTGACGATCAATATGATCCAAGAGATGTTCAATGGGGTTCATGTCTGTAGAATTCGCTGGACAAGTCAATACGTTGACGTTAGTGTTGTGCAATTCTGGGAGTGTGAAGCCTTGCGTTGTCGTGCTGCTAAATGACTCCTCTTGGCTGTTGTCGAATAAAGGGCACCGCAAAAGGTCCCAACGCTTCATCCCTGTATCGCTGGGCATTCAGACTTACTCGGATGATAGTCAATCTTGTTTTCTAATCACAAATGGGACCCCCATACCATTACACTTCCTCTAAAGAACGGATGAACGTCTTGAACGCAGTTTGTCGCCAGTCTCTCTCCTCTACGTCAAACAACTAGAACTCTGCCATCGTTTTTTAAGTGAGCACTCTCTCCCAGTCACGTCACTGCTGTACAGTTCGTGCCCATTGCAATCTGCGTTGACGGTGTAGACGGGCCAGGACCATTCCATGAGATGGGCGGGAGGCACGTATACCAGCCATACCAAGTCGTCGTGTCGTAGTGCTGTCGCCTTTTGTCGTGGTCTTGGGTCTGGCCTATTTTCTGGTAGTGGTTTATCAATTTGCTGATGGTGGCCTGGCTGTAATTGAAGGTTTTGCCAGCTGACGTTTTGAAGCCCCCTAATTGTCATACCGATCGCCCTGTCTCGTTGCGCTTGCGTAAAGTCTTGGCATATTCGTGGTGGTCTTTTGGTTACTGCATGCTTTCTCTGTCCAGCAGCGGTATTAGTGCCACAATCATGCACGTGCATTTGGACCAATGTCCCTCAATTACGTTTTTCACGTTTTGAAAAATGCACAATTCCTACGAATTTTTTGGACAGCTGCGTTGTTATCAGGACCATGTGGCGTTTTGGCGAATGTTTTCTGGTTGGATTAAAACCTGTACCAGAGTTGTTGTTTTTTTGCAATTACTTTAAAAGTGATAACTTTCTTTTACATTACTTATTGAAAATACCTGATACAATGTCGAAATATACGTTACGAAAAATAGTCTCGCATATAACTATTTCAGATCCATCATGTGTGTTTTACCACACGAGACTTCCAAGGAAGAACAGGTTCTTCTGCCTAAAGGAATTGTAGCATATGCTTTCAGTCAGTGTGTTTCGTAGAATGGATTATTTCCAGAACTATATGATGTAGGAACATAGTGTTGACTGCGGTGTAAAACAACATGCACTCACTCAAGATTGAAGGTACAGTGCATTCCTGTAGTTAATGTGTGAATGCCAGGACTCCAGATGTATCATGTTGTGACGTGTTGATGGTACATAACCGTATAATGATAAGGCTTGTATGGTGTTGCTGCAGGGTGTGAGTTCGGCGACAAGAGTTCGTGGTGTCGCACCGACCTCATCATCCCCATGGGCTGCTACAAGAACGAGAACCTCTGCTGCGGCACCTGCAAGATGTACAAGGACCTCACTCGGCCAAGTGAGTCTTGTGTGTCACAAATATTATAAAGTTCGAAAACAGTTCCAGGAGGCATGAGGTGTGTTTGTACGAACTCTTGTCATTCCTGCTATAGGGATGTCCACTTCTTGCGATATATACTACTTAGTGCGGGATTCATGAAAACAGATCTACATTTCAGGCTGTCCATATGGCGACAGAAGTCTTTGGTGTAACACAACCCTAAATCCACCCTTTGAATGCTATGACAACGAGGACCTGTGTTGTGGCACCTGCGCAAACCACTTCAACCAATCACGAGTAGGTAAGTCGGTGTTAATCAGACATAATAGACATATCGATATGAGACAAAACCAAGGAGAACGTATGACCAACACTGAAATATTGATACGGAAACCAAGTTATTTTTGCTGTGAACGTACTTTATTTAATTCAGATATGTCCTGATTTTAATCTACGCCAAATGTTTCAAAACACTGTAATTTTTCAGGTTGCGAGTACGGAGACCGAAGTACTTGGTGTGAGACGACACTCCATCCTCCGTATGACTGCTACAAGAACGGTGTGCTATGCTGTGGCACATGTCCCCAATACTACAACCCTGATAACCCAGGTACAGGGATCACAGATAGGTTTTAGTAACGTAGGCCCCTTTCATCCAGCGCATGTACTTTAAAAAGATTGCACGTGTGTGTTTAAGTGAGTGTATAAAGCGTGTTGACGCCAGTGCAGCATAAGGGTAGCTTGATGGTTAAACAAATCCCCCCTGACAATGAAGTCATGGGCTTGATTCCCATTGGTATATAAGGTGGTGTTATAAACATTATGTACATTGAATGTAGGTTCCGGTGTTGTTAACCTAGTCCTCCCATCCTAGGCTGTGAGTTCGGCGACAGAAGCCAGTGGTGTGAGACCGAGCTGGACAAACCCTACGGCTGCTATCTCAACAGCGAGTTCTGCTGCAAGACCTGCGACAGCTTCCTCAACAAGACACGCGTAGGTCAGTAGCTCATGTTGTCGTTCAACCCATGGTACATAGCGACCAATCCAAGACTCATCCGTGGTTTAAAATGGCATATTTTGGCATACTTCACTATATGCCTGTAATATTGTTTGCTTCATGATGATTTAGCAGTTCCTGCTATTTATTTCCTTGCTGTCCTTGTTTGCAGAGACGTACACACTGAATATTTACGTCTTCCATTGTTGGAATGAACTGCAGGAACTGCTAAATCAGCATTAATGCAAATTGCTGAAAATTGGTTTACCTATGTGGGCTTCCCAATCGGTCATTTGGTGAAGTATACCAAAATATGCCATTCAAAGATTATTTTATGTCTCTTCAGATGACTATTGACTGAGCCGACAGATAATCCCTAATCCCATTGGTTACTATGGACATACTGATATATACAGATGTAGTTTTCTTCAGGTTGTGAATATGGTGACAAGCACAAAGACTGTGAGTCTTTGGAGTATCCCGTTGGCTGCTACAACAATGACAACATTTGCTGCGGGACTTGCACAGACATGAAAGATAGCAGTCAAATTGGTGAGACGTTGATCAACACTTACAAAAAGTTCTACTGTCCCATGAAAATAATATGGTTCTCAGTAAACATCCCCTGTTCCCTGTGGTTGTTTAGTATACATCCCCTGTTCCCTGTGGTTGTCAGTATACATCCCCTGTTTCCTGTGGTTGTCAGTATAGACTCCCTGTTCCCTGTGGCTGTCAGTATACATCCCCTGTTCCCTGTGGTTGTCAGTATACATCCCCTGTTCCCTGTGGTTGTCAGTATACATCCCCTGTTCCCTGTGGTTGTCAGTATACATCCCTGTTCCCTTGTGGTTGTCAGTATACATCCCTGTTCCCAGTGTGGTTGTCAGTATACATCCCCTGTTCCCTGTGGTTGTCAGTATACATCCCCTGTTCCCTGTGGTTGTCAGTATACATCCCCTGTTCCCTGTGGTTGTCAGTATACATCCCCTGTTCCCAGTGGTTGTCAGTATACATCCCCTGTTCCCTGTGGTTGTCAGTATACATCCCCTGTTACCTGTGGTTGTCAGTATACATCCCCTGTTCCCTGTGGTTGTCAGTATACATCCCCTGTTCCCTGTGGTTGTCAGTATACATCCCCTGTTCCCTGTGGTTGTCAGTATACATCCCCTGTTACCCATGGTTGTCAGTATACATCCCTGTTGTTCCCCCTGTGTGGTTGTCAGTATACATCCCCTGTTCCCTGTGGTTGTCAGTATACATCCCCTGTTACCCCCTGTGGTTGTCAGTATACATCCCCTGTTCCCTGTGGTTGTCAGTATACATCCCCTGTTCCCTGTGGTTGTCAGTATACATCCCCTGTTCCCTGTGGTTGTCAGTATACATCCCCTGTTCCCTGTGGTTGTCAGTATACATCCCCTGTTCCCTGTGGTTGTCAGTATACATCCCCTGTTACCCATGGTTGTCAGTATACATCCCCTGTTCCCTGTGGTTGTCAGTATACATCCCCTGTTCCCTGTGGTCCTCAGTATAGACTCCCTGTTACCTGTGGTTGTCAGTATACATCCCCTGTTCCCTTGTGGTTGTCAGTATACGTCCCCTGTTTCCTGTGGCTGTCAGTATACATCCCCTGTTCCCTGTGGTTGTCAGTATACATCCCCTGTTTCCTGTGGTTGTCAGTATAGACTCCCTGCTACCTGTGGTTGTCAGTATACATCCCCTGTTCCCTTGTGGTTGTCAGTATACATCCCCTGTTTCCTGTGGCTGTCAGTATACATCCCCTGTTACCAGTGGTTGTCAGTATACATCCCCTGTTCCCTGTGGTTGTCAGTATACATCCCCTGTTCCCTGAGGTTGTATGTATACATCCCCTGCTACCCATGGTTGTCAGTATACATCCCCTGTTCCCAGTGGTTGTCAGTATACATCCCCTGTTCCCTGTGGTTGTCAGTATACATCCCCTGTTCCCTTTGGTTGTCAGTATACATCCCCTGTTCCCTTGTGGTTGTCAGTATACATCCCCTGTTCCCTGTGGTTGTCAGTATACATCCCCTGTTCCCAGTGGTTGTCAGTATACATCCCCTGTTCCCTGTGGTTGTCAGTATACATCCCCTGTTCCCTGTGGTTGTCAGTATACATCCCCTGTTCCTTGTGGTTGTCAGTATACATCCCCTGTTACCCCTGGTTGTCAGTATACATCCCCAGTTCCCTTGTGGTTGTCAGTATACATCCCCTGTTCCCTGTGGTTGTCAGTATACATCCCCTGTTCCCTTGTGGTTGTCAGTATACATCCCCTGTTACCCATGGTTGTCAGTATAGATCCCCTGTTTCCTTGTGGTTGTCAGTATACATCCCCTGTTCCCTGTGGTTGTCACTATACATCCCCTGTTCCCTTGTGGTTGTCAGTATACATCCCCTGTTCCCAGTGGTTGTCAGTATACATCCCCTGTTCCCTGTGGTTGTCAGTATACATCCCCTGTTCCCTGTGGTTGTCAGTATACATCCCCTGTTCCCTTGTGGTTGTCAGTATACATCCCCTGTTCCCTGTGGTTGTCAGTATACATCCCCTGTTCCCAGTGGTTGTCAGTATACATCCCCTGTTCCCTGTGGTTGTCAGTATACATCCCCTGTTCCCTGTGGTTGTCAATATACATCCCCTGTTCCTTGTGGTTGTCAGTATACATCCCCTGTTACCCATGGTTGTCAGTATACATCCCCTGTTCCCTTGTGGTTGTCAGTATACATCCCCTGTTCCCTGTGGTTGTCAATATACATCCCCTGTTCCTTGTGGTTGTCAGTATACATCCCCTGTTACCCATGGTTGTCAGTATACATCCCCTGTTCCCTTGTGGTTGTCAGTATACATCCCCTGTTCCCTGCTGGTTGTCACTATACATCCCCTGTTCCCTTGTGGTTGTCAGTATACATCCCCTGTTTCCTGTGGTTGTCAGTATACATCCCCTGTTCCCTGTGGTTGTCAGTATACACCCCCGTTCCCAGTGGTTGTCAGTATACATCCCCTGTTCCCTGTGGTTGTCAGTATACATCCCCTGTTCCCTTGTGGTTGTCAGTATACATCCCCTGTTCCCTGTGGTTGTCAGTATACATCCCCTGTTCCCAGTGGTTGTCAGTATACATCCCCTGTTCCCTGTGGTTGTCAGTATACATCCCCTGTTCCCTGAGGTTGTATGTATACATCCCTTGTTACCCATGGTTGTCAGTATACATCCCCTGTTCCCAGTGGTTGTCAGTATACATCCCCTGTTCCCTGTGATTGTCACTATACACCCCCTGTTACCAGTGGTTGTCAGTATACATCCCCTGTTTCCTGTGGTTGTCAGTATACATCCCCTGTTCCCTGTGGTTGTCAGTATACATCCCCTGTTCCCTGTGGTTGTATGTATACATCCCCTGTTACCCATGGTTGTCAGTATACATCCCCTGTTCCCAGTGGTTGTCAGTATACATCCCCTGTTCCCAGTGGTTGTCAGTATACATCCCCTATTCCCTGTGGTTGTCAGTATACATCCCCTGTTCCCTGTGGTTGTCAGTATAGATCCCCTGTTCCCTGTGGTTGTCAGTATACATCCCCTGTTACCCATGGTTGTCAGTATACATCCCCTGTTACCAGTGGTTGTCAGTATACATCCCCTGTTTCCTGTGGTTGTCAGTATACATCCCCTGTTCCCTGTGGTTGTCAGTATAGACTCCCTGCTACCTGTGGTTGTCACTATACACCCCTGTTACCCATGGTTGTCAGTATACATCCCCTGTTCCCAGTGGTTGTCAGTATACATCCCCTGTTCCCATTGGTTGTCAGTATACATCCCCTGTTCCCTTGTGGTTGTCAGTATACATCCCCTGTTCTCAGTGGTTGTCAGTATACATCCCCTGTTCCCAGTGGTTGTCAGTATACATCCCCTGTTCCCTGTGGTTGTCAGTATACATCCCCTGTTCCCTGTGGTTGTCAGTATAGATCCCCTGTTTCCTGTGGTTGTCAGTATAGATCCCCTGTTCCCTGTGGTTGTCAGTATACACCCCTGTTCCCTGTGGTTGTCAGTATAGATCCCCTGTTTCCTGTGGTTGTCAGTATACATCCCCTGTTCCCTGTGGTTGTCAGTATACATCCCCTGTTCCCTGTGGTTGTCAGTATACATCCCCTGTTTCCAGTGGTTGTCAGTATAGACTCCCTGCTACCTGTGGTTGTCAGTATACATCCCCTGTTCGCTGTGGTTGTCAGTATACACCCCCTGTTCCCAGTGGTTGTCAGTATACATCCCCTGTTCCCTGTGGTTGTCAGTATACATCCCCTGTTCCCTGTGGTTGTCAGAATACATGCCCTGTTCCCTGTGGTTGTCAGTATACATCCCCTGTACCCTGAGGTTGTATGTATACATCCCCTGTTACCCATGGTTGTCAGTATACATCCCCTGTTCCCAGTGGTTGTCAGTATACATCCCCTGTTCCCAGCGGTTGTCGGTATACATCCCCTGTTCCCAGTGGTTGTCAGTATACATCCCCTGTTCCCTGAGGTTATATGTATACATCCCCTGTTCCCTGTGGTTGTCAGTATGCATCCCCTGTTCCCTGTGGTTGTCAGTATACATCCCCTGTTCCCTGAGGTTATATGTATACATCCCCTGTTACCAGTGGTTGTCAGTATACATCCCCTGTTCCCTGTGGTTGTCAGTATACATCCCTGTTCCCTGAGGTTATATGTATACATCCCCTGTTCCCTGTGGTTGTCAGTATACATCCCCTGTTCCCTGTGGTTGTCAGTATACATCCCCTGTTTCCAGTGGTTGTCAGTATAGACTCCCTGCTACCTGTGGCTGTCAGTATAGACTCCCTGTAACCTGTGGTTGTCAGTATACATCCCCTGTTCCCTGTGGCTGTCAGTATATATCCCCTGTTCCCTGTGGTTGTCAGTATATATCCCATGCTCTCTGGGGTTGTCAGTTTATATCCCATGTTCCCTGTGGTTGTCAGTATAGACTCCCTGTTCCTTGTGGCTGTCAGTATATATCCCCTGTCACTGTGGTTGTCAGTATAAAGTCCCTGTTCCCCGTGGTTGTCAGTATACATCCCCTGTTCCCTATGGATTTCAGTATTAAGTCCCTGTTTCCTGTGGCTGTCAGTATACATCCCCTTTCCTGTGGTTGTCAGTATCTATCCCCTGTTCCCTGTGGATGTCAGTATACATCCCCTGTTTCCTGTGGTTGTCAGTATCTATCCCCCGTTCCCTGTGGTTGTCAGTATACATCCCCTGTTCCCTGTGACTGTCAGTATATAGTCCCTGTTCCCTGTGGTTGTCAGTATATATCCCCTGTTCCCTATGGTTGACAGTATGAAGTCCCTGTTCCCTGTGGTTGTCAGTATGGACACCCTGTTCCCTGTTGCTGTCAGTATATACTCTCTGTTCCCTATGGATGTCAGTATGAAGTCCCTGTTCCCTGTGGTTGTCAGTGTGGACACCCTGTTCCCTGTTGCTGTCAGTATATACTCTCTGTTCCCTATGGATGTCAGTATGAAGTCCCTGTTCCCTGTGGTTGTCA